GGCAGGTACCTACTTTGCCTAAAGGGAAACAGAGCCGTGGCCGGAGTTGCTGAATGGAAAGCATAGCTGAGAGAGTACTTTTCCAGGTCAACTATTGTGACCTTATATATTAAATTTACTTTGAATTCTCACTTTTTAATGAATAACCCGGTTAGTGTGTGAATACACGTAATGTTAGCGAGAAGGTACCAAAATATTTCCAGCCCACTGACCACTCTTTAAACACTTTGACAGTCCTTTTTGACCGTCCTTGGTGGTCCTGAATCAAATACTTGCCATATTTAGAGGATGTTTAAATAGTAGGTGTGCCTTGATCAACAAAAGAGAGTCACTTTTCTAGAGTAAGGTTTGAGCAAGGCCTCCAAGCACAGCTTATTAATATTACGAAAGTATAACGCCTCATTAAAGGTGTCAAATCTTCAAAAGGAAAACACCACCCTTCATAAAACAGTGACCCAGCCCTGAAGGTTTTATTTGAAAAATGTGCATCATCAAGAGGGAAGAGCAGAAAAAATAAAATGGAAAATACATTATAATCTCAGGTATCTGAGATTATTGAGAAGATAAATGAAAGTGGGTATTGAGATATAAGAGTATATTGCCCTTAATGCTCAGTACTATAACATGTAGGAGTTGAGCCTTGCAATGGTTACAAACACACTTTTTTTTAGTAACAGGAGAAGGTGTTGCTCTATTGGTGAAAGCTTAAGGACAAAAGCCCTTTTTGCATTTTTTGCTGTTTGTTTTCAAACGCAATTTGCATCTCTGTCATTTATTGCAACAACACATATTATACATCGGTTTTTAGAGGGCAAACAGGGCTTTAATTTTATGTAACATATACATAGATACGTTCTCATTAATTAGAAAAAAAATGCCACAAAATGGGGAAAAACCCCAAATATATATATGTTTTTCACAATTTTGGCAATAATAGCATGTGCATAATATGTCCAGTGTAAGGAAACCTAGTATATCCAATCCTCATTCGGTAGTTTCCTCCCGAACTGCCAGAACATCAGTAAGTATAGCTCTCCGTTCAGTAGATGGGATAGACGAAATCCATACGAATACAAATAGCTTTACAAGATGATTCCCTTAATAAAGCATACGAATCCCCAAACATCAGCCAAAGTCAAGAAGAAGGGTACAACAGAGCTGGCTTTTAATGAACACACAGGCTTTTATGCAAGACCCCATGCAAGGGGACATCCCACAGGGAGGGACACAGTACAACCAATCAGTTACAGTAAAACTGTAAAACACACCCGGCACAAACATACAATTCCCTCCCCTAGTCCTGGAGATAATCAAGTCTGAAAGTAATAACTGATTATCTCCAGGCAGAAAAATCTAAATTTTCACCAATATATAGAACACCCCTTTAGGCATGGGGTATCCCCACAAACAATATGTCCCCTAATAGCCCCGATCTGGGTGACCAACATATTCAAATTTCACCAAGATCGGTTCAGGGGTTCAGTGGTGTCTGTGAGTGGTGCAATGTATGAGGGGGGCAGTGTGTGTGTGTGTGGGGGGGGTGTAGTGTGTGAATGTGTAGGGTGTGTGGGGTGTGTGGGGGAGTGTGTGGGGAGGTGTGTGGGGGGGGCAGTGTGTGTGTAGAGGCAGTGTGTGTATAGGTGCAGCCGCACCAGCCCCCAGCTAGCCCCCCTTACCAGGGCCGGCGCCACCGGGATGTTTCCTGGTGGGCTCCCCCGTCTGGGGCCGCAGCACTGGGAGAGCGGCTCTTGAGCTGCCCCCAGCACTGGGCCGATCGTCAAGGTACCTGAAGGTGGGGGCGCCAAGAAGAGCGCTGTCCCTGAACCTGTAATAGATAAGGCAGAGCAGACTCCTGCTTACCTTGATGGCAGGTGCTTGCTCTGCCAAAAAACACCGGTGCCCAGAGGAGAAGGGGAACAGTGCAGGAATGCAGCGAGGGAGGCTGTTCTTGCAGCCTCTCACTCCTCCCCCGTGCGCCCTCTGTAATGCCGGCCCCAGCATACTAAACGGCGCACTGGAGGAGTGAGGAGCTGCTCCACACTGGACCCCAGCAGGGAGGTGAGTGTTTGAGTGTATCAGTGAGTGTCTGCCTGTGTGTGTCAGTGAGTGAGTGTATATATGTTAGTGAGTGTCTGTGTTTGTCAGTGATTGAGTGTATGTCTGTGAGTGAGTGTGTGCTTGTGTGTCTGTCAGTACGTGTGTGTCAGAGAGTGTATGTATGTCAGTGTGTGTGTGTGTTTGTATGTGTGTGTGTGTCTATCAGTGACTGAGTGTATGTATGTCTGTGTGTGTGTGTGTGTCTGTCAGTGAGAGAGTGCGTGTATGTATGTATGTTTGTCATTGAGTGTCTTTGTGTGTGTGTGTGTGTGTGTCAGTGAGTGAGTGTATGTATGTCAGTGAGTGTCTGTATGTGTGTCTGTCAGTGAGTGGGTGTCTGTGTGTGTATGTATGTCAATGAGTGTCTGTGTCTGTCAGTGAGTGAGTGTATGTCTGTCAGCGAGTGTGTGTCGATGAGTGAGTGTATGTTTGTCAGTAAGTGTGTGTGTCAATGAGTGTGTGTCTTTCAGTGAGTTAGTGATATGAGGGGGCGGCAAAATGGATCTTTGCCTAGGGCGGCAGAAATCCTAGCACCGGCTCTACCTCTTACTCCCCTCAGACTGACAGGCTGGCACAGTCCGAGGGGAAATATTTGAATGTCTTTATCATGCTGATTATTAGGGCTGTCTGCTCGGCCCCAGCTTGCTGTGGCCCACAGGGAAATTTCCCGGTATTCTGGTGGGCCAGTCCGACACTGGTATGGGGCAATGTGTGGGCAGTGTATATGTGTGTGGGGCAGTGTATGTGTGTGTGTGGGGGCAGTGTATGTATGGAGGGGCAGTGTGTGTGTGTATGGGGGCAATGTGTGTATGGATGGGCAGTGTATGTTTGTGTGTGGGCAGTGTGTGTGTGGGAGGGAAATGTGTGATGGGGGTATGGGGGCTTTTTTATAAAAAAATTTTTTAAATAAAAATAAATACATTTATGTCCTCCCTCCCTTCTTACCTTTACTGAGGGAGGACATTTGTCGATTCCTGGTTGTCGCAGTGGTAAGAGTGAACTCTCGCCCGCAGCTCCAGGGCTAGCGTTCACTCTCGCGAGATCCGGAGCATTGCCATGGTAACTGCAGTAACGCTCCGTGCTCACGAGAGAAGGACCCGGAGAAGCTGCAGGCTGAGCTCCGGGGTCCTCTCTCCCTCCCTCCCCTACCGGCTGCCTGCGAGATCTCTGATCTCCCCTCCGGTCTGTGAAGGCACATTGCAGGGCTGGCGCTTGGACAGTGCCAGCCCCACATTAGCCGGCAGTGGAGAGCCTTGGGGGGGGCAATATCCCCCTTGCCCCCCCTGGATCCTCCAGTGATATCAGGCCTATCTTATCCCTTGTTTTGCTAATGATGCCAGGGATCCTAACCATGTTACCCGATTGCTTTATGTTAAAAGCATGATTTCTAAAAGTTAAACCAGACTCTGCGTGATTACATTGTGTCAGAGGTAAAGAGTCAGGGACAATGGTTGATGATTTACCCTCTGCAGTGCAGGCACATCATCTGTGCACAATTAGGGAGACAGACTGTGGTCAGTTAATTGGGTTAATTGTTTCCCTCTCTGTCTGGAATTACCTGCACCTGATGTCTTTTGTGAATTAGAGTTTGATGTTTTTAAGAACATTACCTGTTATTTGGTGTACCTGTATTTGAATTACCTGATTTAAATTAGGCTCTCAATTGTTTGAGATTTACCATGTTATAATTGATCTACTATTTCCCTGGGCCCCCTATATATTCTGTTTTAGAACCAGAATAAATGTGTTTGTGATTTACCAAGGAGTTTCTACACCTCTTGAAGCATCCAGGTATATTGCTGTTTGTTGTCCACTGTTAAAAGTGCTAAAGTGTGTAGGTAAGCCTTTTTTTTTTTCTTTTTTTAAACAAGGGGTACAACCTCAAACCGATGTGCAAAATCATCTCAATAAAATAAAAGGTAAAAATAGAAAATAATAATTAATACATTTATGATATAGTGAAACATGCCTTATATGTAAGTGAGTTGGCAACAATCAAGAAAATGGACAACTAAAGATGTATGTCCAATTTGGCTAATTAGGCCTATATTCTGCAAATCTTTTGTCAACTTACCCCAGTGTACTGTTTAACAAATAACACCCCGGTTAGGAGAGCAATGAGAGGTATACACAATAGTTCTAGCTGTTATCTTATCTCTTTGAGGAATCTTTTATAGGACTGCATAAGTAATGGAAAGCAAAGTGTCACACCTTCTATAAAACTGGGGAGTCAATTATGTATTTCTGACTCAAAATTTACGGCATTCTCGTCACGCAGCCTATCCCTATAGATGAGCACATTATTTACTTCCTGATCCCATATTATATGGAGTTGAAAGGATCATGTTAATCTCCATTTATTATTAACCCTTACTGGCCTGGCAGATCAGTGTTTGAAAACATACACCACACACAAAAATCCAATTACAGTTTTGTAGGTCTGGACTGCCTATTCAGCACTACCACTGTTGTGATCTATTACTCCAGTTAAATTCATAGTTTTAAGGTGGCAGCAGACTAGATGGGAGGTGTAGAGGTGAGGCAAGAATCAGATAACACCAAGACAGCAAGCTTGCAAGGACAGGTTGATGCGGGTACCATCAACTTGCATGGACAGGAGGATTGGTATTATGAGGAGGAAAAATAAGAAGCTCTCTTTTAGGGAAATTGAGTTTCAGAAAGCAGGACATCCAGTGGAAGAAAGGCAAGTGGTGACCTCTTGTAGGACAGCAGGGGAGGAGAGATATAGCTGGGTGTCATCAGCATACAGGTGCTAGCAGAATCCAAAGGAATGAATACATTTACTAAGAAGAGGGGGTAAGACCATGTCACAGAGACTGAGGGAATAAAGAGTTTGAAGAGGGAGGACATGGTCAACAGTGTCAAAAGCAGCAGAGAGGTCAAGAGGAATTAGTATAGAGCAGTGGCCTCCGGATTGAGCCGAAGTTAGATCATTAGTTACTTTAATCAGTGCAGTCTCAGTAGAATTGATGGGGCAGAAGCCAGACTGAAGAGAGTCGAAGACCGCGTTCTGGAAAGTTTGAGGAGAAAGGTAGCAGAGATATGGGACGGAAGTTAGACAGGGAAGATAGGTCAAAAGATGGCTTTTTTTAGGACAAGTACAACTGTGGCATGTTTAAGGGGAGCAAAACAATGCCAGAAGAAAGAGAGCAGTTGAAGATATGCGTTAAGGGTGGCACAAGACATTGGAAGAGAGATCTGATAAGGTTCCATAGGACAGGATAAAGGGGACTTGTGGTAAAGGAGAGGAAACGAGAAGCGCATCAACCTCCTGTTCATTAGACAGGGAGAAGGCCTGACGGGTAGGAAAGGCACAGTTCAAGTGCGGTTGAGATAGAGAAAAGCAAAGGAGGGAGAATTCTTTCCTTAAATGGTCAATCTTCTCAGTAAAATAGCAAGCAAAGCTATGTGAGGTTAGATTTGTGGGGTTGCCACAACAGGGCGAAGAAGAAAATTGAAGGTATCAAAAAGATGCCTGGGAGTATAAACTAATGATAGTGGTAAAAAGTATGATTGTTTAGCAAGGGTGAGGGCTACACTGTAGGAACACAAGATGAATTTATAATGAAGAAAGTCTGACAAGATGCACAAATTCCTCCAGCAGAGTACAGCGAATGGGAGCATCTCTGTAGGTAGTGGGTTGACTGAGTGTGCCTTGGTTGGAGTGTCCTCCTTGAGGTGTATGTTTTTAGTGGGGCTGCAGCGTCCAGGGCAGAGGTGAGGGCAGCATTATATGAAGAGATAGCCAGAGAGGGACAGGGGAAGGTAGGGATTATTGTTTTTTTTTATTAAGCACCAACAAATTCTGTAGCGCTCTACAATAGACATATATTTGCAACAAAACAAGTTGGATACACAGGAACCGAGGGTGTTAAGGGTCCTGCTTAAATTATGGACGTGAGTTGAGAGCGGACATCATCTGACAGTTGCTGGAGGTCAAGAGAATGCAGGTTCCTCAAGATGAGGATTGTTAGGCTGACGATGTTGGGCTCTCAAGAACAAATAATAAGAGTCGGTGATCTGAGAGCGCACATAGAGTGTTGCAGAGATTAGAGACCATCAGTGGCATACTAAGGGGGGTGCGGTCCGCACCGGGTGCCTCTCACTTGAGGGGTGCTCGGGGCAGACTGCAATGCCCCTCCTGCGTCCATTGCAGAGACCGGTCTGCAGCTCCGCAGTGTGCAGAGCTGCAGACCATGTGTCTTGCGAGCACTGCCCAATCAGAGCGTTGCCGCGGGTTACCACAGCAACGCTCTGACTGGGTCTTGCGAGATCTATGGTCTGCAGCTCTCGGAGCTGCAGACCGGAAATGATGGCCACCGGAACACCAGGCAGCCCCCACTGGACCACCAGGTATTTAACGTAATTTTTTAGTCCCCCCTTCTCACAATCACCCCCCTCCCTCTCACAATCACCCCCCTCTGACTCACTATCACGCCCCTCCCTCTCACACTCATCCCCCTTCCTCTCACAATCACCCCCTCTCACTATCACCCCCTCCTCTCATCCTCTCCCTCTCACAATCACCCCCCTCTCACTATCACCCCCTCTGATCCTCACCCCCTCCCTCTCATCCTCACCCCCACCCTCTCACAATCACCCCCCTCTCACTATCACCCCCCTCTCATCCTCACTCCACCCTCTCACAATCACCCCTCTCCCACTATCACCCCCCCCACTAACACCCCTCCTCTCTCCTCCACCCCTCCCTCTCACAATCAATCCTCCCTCTCTCCTCATCACTCCAGCCTCCCTCACAATCCTCCCTCTCACAATCCACCCCACAATCCTCCCCTCCCTCTCATAATATCACCTCCCTCTCACAATCATCCTCCCCACAATCATCCCCCACAATCATCCCCCTCTCCTCATAACTCCCTCCCTCTCACAATCACCCCCCCTCTCACAATCACCCCCCCACTCACAATCACCCCTCCCTCCCTCTCATAATCACCCCCCCTCCCTCTCACTATCACCCCCTCCCTCTCATCCTCACCTCCCTCCCTGAGCTCCCTCTCACTTCACCCCCCCCATCACCCATTCCCTCTCATAATCACCCCCCCCTCTCTCTCCTCATCACCTCCCTCCCTCATGCAATCCACCCTCCCTCTCACAATCACCCCACTCTCACAATCACAATCACCCCCCTCCCTCTCATTCTCACCCCCCTCCCTGAGCTCCCTCTCACTTCACCCCCCCCATCACCCCTTCCCTCACACCATTATCCACTATACAAGCACACACACTGCATTCACTATACAAACACACACAGACACACACTTATACATGTGTGTCTGTGTATCTGTATGTGTGTTGGTATATATGTATCTGTATGTGTCAGTGTGCATCTGTGTGCCTGTCTGTGTATCTGTTTGTGTGTCTGTGTTTGTATCAATGTGTCTGTATGTGTGTGTCTATCTGTATGTGTGTGTGTTTTTATCTATATGTGTGTTTGTATCTGTGTGTCTATCTGTATGTGCCACTGTTTGTCTGTGCATGACTGTTTCTATGTAACTGCATGTGTGTGTACCTCTGTGTATGTGTGCCAGTGTGTGTATATGTAAGTATATGTATGTATATGTGCATACATCTCAGCATTTCGCCTACACTACACACAAATACAACCCTGCATCCAAATGTCAACACTACAAAAAAAAAAACACCACCATATTCAAAAACCACACTACAGAAAAATGCACTCCTGCATTCAAATGCCAATACGTGCAAACACACCTGTACATTTACCACACATACTCCATACAAAAACATGCTTACATTCAAACACACAAACAGTGCTTGGTGCTAAATACATAAAAAATAAAAATAAAAACACTGCTCAGTGCTAAAGACATTAAAACTATTTGCAGGTGTTTTTTTTTTACATTTTTAAGAGGGTGCCAAATATAGGATCCACCCCGGGTGCCAAATGCTCCAGGTACGCCCCTGGAGACCATGCATCTATATGAAAAAACAAGATCAAGGGTAATGCCAGCAACATGTGTGGGAGAATTAGCCTACTGGGAGAAAGTAATTGAAAGAAATGTTGTCGCTACTGAGCTCAAGGGTGGCTTAGTTGGAATGTTGAAGTCCCCAAGAATCAGAGAAGGAATATTGAAAGCAAGTAGGGAAGCCAGGCAGCAAAATAGTCAAAGAAGAAAATTTGGGAACATGGGAGGGGGAGGAGGTGGAAAGGAGGGGAGAGGGGGGAGGGAAAGGGGGTGTTAAATAACAGCAATGTTTGCTTCAAATTAGAAAAAGAGAGGGAAGGGGGGTGGGGTGAAAACAGAAACCTTAACCCGCACCCTTAAAGGACCACTATAGTGCCAGGAAAACATACTCGTTTTCCTGGCACTATAGTGCCCTGACGGCGCCCCCACCCTCAGGGACCCCCTCCCGCCGGGCTCTGGGGAGAGGAAGGGGTTAAAATCTTACCTTTCTCCAGCGCCGGGCGGGGAGCTCTCCTCCTCCTCTCCGCCTCTTCTCCTCTTCGGCTGAATGCGCATGCGCGGCAGGAGCTGCACACGCATTCAGCCAGTCTCATAGGAAAGCATTTATAATGCTTTCCTATGGACACTGGCGTCTTCTCACTGTGATTTTCACAGTGAGAAGCACGCAAGCGCCTCTAGCGGCTGTCAAGGAGACAGCCACTAGAGGCTTTAGAGGCTGGATTAACCTATTTATAAACATAGCAGTTTCTCTGAAACTGCTATGTTTCTAAAAAAAAATGGGTTAACCCTAGCTGGACCAGGCACCCAGACCACTTCATTAAGCTGAAGTGATCTGGGTGCCTAGAGTAGTCCTTTAATGTCACATTATCCTTGGCTGTGAGTAAGATAAAGACCACCAAAGAATAATGAGGCAGGGTTAGCAGTGTCAAAGAGAGAAAGTCATGTTTCTGTTACCGCTAGTAACTTTAGGGAACGTGAGACAAAAAAGTAATGGATAGCAGTTGATTTAGTGACGTTACACAAAGAGTGTGCACTCCAGAGGGCAGTACGAAAGGAGGATTTAAAGGTGGAATTATATGGGATGGGTAAAAGATTGGTGTGGTTTTGGGTGTTAGCACAATTTAGCGATGGACAGGGCTGCCACCAAAAATATTTGGGCCCCTGACACAGTTTAGGTCTGGACCCGTGGGGCCAGACTCTGAGTCCACCCACAGGGCCTGCCCCAAGTCCGCCCACAAGGATGAGGTGTGTGTGTATAGTGGATGTAGAATGTGTGTAGTGGATGCGGTATGTGTGTCATGGATGCAGTGTGTACAGTGGATGTAGATCGTACATTTTGTGTAATGTACGTAATGTTTGTGTGCATTAGATGCAGAGCGTGTGTGTGTAGTGAATGCAGAATGTGAGTTTGTGTAGTGGATGTAGTTTGAGTATAGTGAATGCAGAGTGTGTGTTTGCATAATGACTGCAGTGTGTGTGTTTTTGTAGTGGATGTAGTGTGTGCATAGTGACTGCAGAGTGTGTATAGTGAATGTAGTGTGTGTAGTGACTGCATAGTGTGTATAGTGAAAGCGGAGTGTATAGTGAATGTAATGTGTGTATACTGAATATAGTGTGTTTGTAGTGAGTGCAAAGTGTGTATAGTGAATGTAGTTTGTAGTGAGTGCAAAGTGTGTATAGTGAATGTAGTGTGTGTATAGGGAATGTAGTGTTTGTCGTGAGTGTAGAGTGTGTAGAGTGAATGTAGTGAGTGCAAAGTGTGTATAGTGTGTGTGTGTGTGGTGAGTGCAGAGTGTGTGCTTGTAAGGATGCAGTGTGTGTGTGTAAAACAGGGGGGAAGCATAGTCCAAAGAGTGTGACAAATAGTCCAAAGAGTGTGTTCTTTTCTTGTTGGTAGAATCAGGTAATGCTTCTTATCAGGGTATAGAGCTGTATAAACATGTAAAAAGAAGCAGAGAAACAGGAAAATTCCAATAGTGTGGTATGCCAACTTAAATAGAACACAGATGACACAGAAGTAAGCGATTGCCAACTCACGTTTCTTAGAGCTAGGACCAGCTCTAGAATAAACAGCACATAGTGGTATAAAACCCCATTTGCAGGTTAATGCAGATGTATTGCACTTGCCTGTCTGCAGCAGAATATTGTGTAGATCATAGGCGTGTGCACGGGGTGTGCCGGGTGTGCCTGGGCACTCCCTAATCCCCGCAGCATGCGCTATGTGCCTCCCTCCATGGGCCGGTGAAGGAGATCAAAGATCTCCCTCACCAACCCACAGGCAGGGAGGGAGGCAGGAGAGGACCCGGGGAGCTCTTGTTAGCAGTTCCGCCAGGTTCCTCTCGCTCAGATCTCGCGAGAGTGAACTCTAGCCCCACAGTGGGCTAAAGTTCACTCTCTACTGGACCACCAGGGATGGCAGCAGCACGGTCCCCCCTCCCTACATAAGGTAAGAAGGGAGGGGTATATTAACTAAACGGCCCCCACACATACATCACCCTTACACACACAGCACACACACTAACCGCACCCTCACACTAACAACACCCTTACACACACAGTACCCTCACACATACACACACATAGCACACACTAACAGCACCCTTACACACACAGCACACACTAACAGCACCCTTACACACACAGCACCCTTACACATACACACACTAACAGAACCCTCACACACACAGCACACACACTAACAGCACCCACACACACACAGTACCCTCACCCACACACAAAGCACACACTAACAGCACCCTTACACACACAGCACCCTCACACACACACACACACACACACACACTAACAGCACCCTTACACATACACACACACAGCACACACTAACAGCACCCTTACACACAGCACCTTCACACACACAGTGCCCGCACACACACACACAGCGCCTGCACACACACAGCACCCTCACACACACAGCAGTGTGTGTGTATATGTATGTTTATGTGTATATATATACGCGGCGTGTGTGTTTCTGCTTTAGGGTGCACACCCTTATACAATAGGCTGCGCACGCTTATGGTGTAGATCATCCAAAGGAGAAAAGAAAATAGTGTTCTCCGTAGGTAAGTATGGGTATAAGTAAAAAGATAAAAACCTTACTCACAATTTTTGGAGCAGAAGGACCTCTCACAATTTTCAGTGTGGTATAATCCAGCCCTAGGATTCTTTGTCCAATCTCCTCAGTTAGTCAGGATTCCAGGTAGGAATAAAAGGTGAAACAATAAAATAAGAAACGTATATTTCTACACAAGATAAAAGGTGGCCAAACATACTTTTAAATTAAAAATACAGTTAAAAAGCTTCTTTATCAAGTGGAATCAAGATGGATGGACCAAGTTTGAGAGACTTCAGCAGTTGCTTAGAACAGAAGCACAGAAAGGAGAATATGAAGGTGGGAGAAAATGTTAAATGTTTGGGGTGAGAGCTTGTATTTGGAGGCTTTAGAAGGAGTTGGTGTTGAAAAATGTGGATACGTATGAGAAAAGTGAGTTGGATGAATAGAGAGGGGAGGGAGGTAAAGCTGGGACAATAAAGGTGATCACAGCAGGAAGAAAGATTTTAGCAGTGAGAGAAGTGAGACTTAAAGAGAAAAATAGAAGGGAGTACATTATTAGGACAATAGGGAGTTTATATTATAGTTACAGTGATTAGATTGGAACATTAAAACCAAAGGAGAGAGTGGAGGGATTAAGGGTTAAAAGATATGGAGTGTGGGATTTGAGCAGGTGAGGAGACTTTGTTAGACATTATTGGGGTGTTTCTCGAACAATTTAACACCTAAGTTGCCTCCAGCGCTGGTCTCCACTCCTCCCTTGGCTTCTGGCTTTTGAATATATTGGCTTCTGGCTTTTAAATATTGAGATTCACCAGGCAGTGGCCCCAGCTAGTTGGCTGAAAGTGGTCAGCTTATGCTTTCAGCCAATCAGTGACACCTCATTCACTAAAGATACTTTAGATGAAGTGGTTTTGATGCCTGGAGTGTCCCTTTAAGGTGCAAGACTTTGTAGTTCTGAGTGCAATTTATGAATGCTGTTTGGGGAACAAGCTCTAGAGAGCGTTTGGGGTTAGATAACACAGTAATTATGGATAGAGAGTCATTCAGATATTGAGGTGAGAAAAATCATTGAAAGAAAAAAGCAGAGGAGAAACTATTCAGATTTCAAGGTATGAAGGGAATCGGAGAGATCAAGTCTCCCCATAGTTTCGGGAAACTCCCGCATGTATCTTGTGAAGCCCCCTCCCTAAAATGCATTTTTGCACGTTAGGATGTTTGTAAATTGTGAAGATAAATTAAGAAGACAATAATTGCAATAACTCTCACACTAGCAAAAAAAACAAAACGCTTAATGTAAGAGCTAATAACTTATTCCGCTGTAATATAATGCATAATTCATCACTTTCTGGATCTCGTGTACTTTATTGTTACAAGTGAAAAAATTACAGTTAGTATGATTTGTGGGTTTGTATTTAAAGTGACATTGTGACTTTTGAGTTCTTTAAAAAAAATAGGGTTATTCACTGAAGGGAGAATTTTTATTTGTTGTAATTTTTTTATTTTTGTAGGGCAATGGTAATATCACAAACATATAACCGTGAGATATAGAGAAAAGGTATCAAAGAAAATGTGTTATACATTTTAAAATATTCGCCCAATTTTAAATCATGTGATACAGCACATGAGTAGATCGAGGACAACACTAACCATGTTATATGCTAGAAACTGGATTACTCTGACTTCAGAGAAGTTACAGCAGTACTACGAAGACAAGCTGAGTATCTTGCTTAATAAACAACAGACAAAACTAAACATTAAATGCTAAGAGCTTGGCTACTCTCACTTGAGAAATAAAATGAAACTGAATACTCGATTGAAAATCACAGCTGAGAACTGAGTTTTTAAATAACGAGTTTTGCCTAAATAGTGAAAGGCAGCGTAACATAGTCGCTTGCATGTTGCAGTAATGGCTGATATCTAAATTGTACTGCGCTTTTAGAATGAGAATATAAAATTAATGCTATGTATACCGCAGGAAGGTAGACTGCAAACCTCATGTAACTAGTGCCAAAGGTAATCTTCACATGTAAATTTAAAATTAAACATTAAACAGAACCATATGTATGGCCCTATACAAACAGAGTTCACTCCAATTACCAAGCTAGCAAAAAGATTCCCATATAGAGACATGTTCCCATTTATCCAGAACTGGCCACTCTGCAAACGCCGAGCCTCAGTAAGAGCCCTTATGTGTTGCTCACTAATCCAGTTGCTCCTGGTGCCAAGATCAGGGTCCCATGTGGATCTGGACACAAAATGGTGTTGGTTATAGAGCCACCAAGATTGTGAGTTGTGCACAAGGGGTAGTCTCTTCAAAACCCTAAGCCCAGGTATGGGGCAATGTATAATGGACAACCTGGTATCTGGTATTCAGTAGATGGGCATCCATCATGGTATCTTAAGACAATTAAGTAACACAGCTATCATCTGGTCAGACCCAGACACAGGTTATTGGACCACAAGAGGTGAGTTCTGTAGTTAGGCACTTCCCATTCTGTCCTCACGGGCGGTCGCTGTCTGAGGTTTTGTTTCTGCCAGAAATCCTCAAATATCTTATCCAGCTGTACTAAACTGATATCGGGCAGGCCACCGGTGGTGGAATTGCATGTAATGTTTGCCATCTTAGAGTAAGCGGTGCTCCAGGCTATGTGTTGATAGGGTCCCAGTCGTTCCAGTGGTTGGTAGAGAAAGCCAAAGAGCTAGAGGGATAATCCTTACTGGCAGGGGGTAAAGGGGTTCTGTGTTGTATCCTCTGAGTCCAGGAATAATACTGGTGTGGAGAGAGTTCATGCCTCCCACACCTGCACTGTCAAGTAGACCTCTGGATCGCCTCAGACTCATGTTGCCTGACGGGCTCAGAAATGCCTCCAAAGTCAGCTTGCTGGTGTGTGCAAGTTGTCCCCAGCTTGTAAAACGCCTGTTTTTAAGGGCAAACAGTTGCACTATACAGTGGGACCTCGGTTTACGAATTTAATGCGTTCTCTGGGACATTTCTTATTGCGAAAAATTTGTAAACTGAAACGCGGTTTCTCATAGGAATGCATTGAAAACCAATTAATCCGTTCTGGAGGTCAGAAAAAAGTCAAAATGAGCTGGCATGGAAACCAACCCACAATGCAAAAAAACACAATAAAAGGCATGCAAATGACAAAGCTCAGCTCCCTACCTTTCCACAGTTTACAAATGCACCAAAAAGTCCCAAAACAACTGAAAACAAGTCCAGAATGCCTCCAGAACTCGATGCAAAAGCCGCTCCAACACCTCCCCACTCGACGCCACGCGCTAACCACAGGCTCCAGCATGCAGGGGGCGGTACTATAAATCTCCCAGGTGCAATGCATCTTGGGGAAACTTGCTTTGTATTGCAAAAAAAATTTGTAAACAGAGGCATTATTTTCAATGGACTTTCATTTGTAAACCGAAAATTATGTTAAAGGGACACTGTAGTCACTATAAGCATTTCATCTCTTTGAATTGGTTATAGTGCCTGGAGTGCCCTGGCACTGTCCCTCCATTCAGTGTTGCACCATGTTCGTGCAGTATGCCACAAAATAAGAGTCCCTGGCCACCCACAGTCCGGCCCCTTCAGTATGTGTAGCTAAGGCAGAGATTACACACTTCCTTGTTGTCATACCCATTCATACCGTCAGTTGGAACTCTGACAGGCTAAAAGCAGTCAGCTGACACTCTCAGCCAATCACAGCTGTCTATTGCTGCTCAGGCTAATACTTCCTTATTAGCCAAAGCAGCATAGAGGGGATGGATTGCCGGGGACTCTTGTTTAGCATTAAAAGTTTAAAAACTGTTTAATGCTGAAAGAAATGATGGTGTCAGAGGACTCCAGACACTATAACCAGTTTAATGAGATGAAGCAGATACAGTGCCTACGGTGTCCCTTTAACCGAGGCGTTTGTAAACCGAGGTCCCACTGTACTGGGTTTTGTCATCAAGCTCACTAGAGATGCAACCGATCAGTATGGCAGTCAGGTCCTGCCCCACTAATGGGAGAATTCAAAGAGAATGCAAAATGAATTAGGTCAAAATAGCCAAACTGGAAAAGTCAGCCATGCTATCAGTTTTACTAGTCTGGCCTCAAATGTGAAAATGTATTTAAATTAACTTTGACTTCTCACTTTAGTAAATAAACCTTTATGAAAACCCAGGGGCTGCATTGGAATCTCAGTTATATATCATAGACAAAGCAGGGACTATTTTAGCCGCCCTCTGTGGTGGCATTATGAATGATTGTGATGATGCTTCAATTCTACTAATGCAACACCAACACTGTTCCGTTCGAATAAACTCAACACTTTTTCATCATCTAACATGAAAGTTCTAGTTATTCAATTAAAAATCATACTGTAAACAAATATGATGCTGGTGATGATGTCCCCAAGGAAAGGTGTATACTTGCTCAAGTCTCACTAGTACGTCAATTCGGGATCAAGGGAAAGATAAAAGAAATGTATATAGATTATGCAGTGAGATTACTATTTAATTAGTCCTCATGGACAGTAGATGGCCATGTTCACTGGACTTTGGATGCTAGTTGAAATGTTTCTAATTCTGTCTTGAGATGTTTCTATTTATTAGTATCTAGTGCTATTGTAAAGTACTTTATTCTTCCTCGCATGTTAAATAGGAAGCCGTTTCAGTTGTGTCTGGACCTCCATGAAGCACAGTTTAGTTCTATTCTGTTCTGGGTTTTACCTTTGTTAATGAATGCAGGAATGTACATAAACTTGAACTCTATATGCACTATATTCCCAATCTCCAATTTACACAACATTCCTGTGACAAACTCCAATTTTCAAGTTTTCAACGAGTTCCTGGAGGAACCTGCTTGCCAGCCTCCTGCCCACAGACTATGGACCTTGTAAAATGTGATGTAAAAATCTCAGTTCGTGTATTTGGGCTATATGGTTCAGTAACTGAACGTCTGCATGAACCGGAGACCACCCTGGAGCTCCGGTTCGTGCAGGTTCGTCCACTAAAACCTAATAAGTACTTAGACATGTTTATTATTAATTATTATAAAAGTCCTTGGCAAGGGATCGGCAATCTGTCAGAGGCATGGAACTGTTTGGAGAATGCCCACTGGGTTTTGTGAAAGGGACGGATTTACCACATGGCAACAAAGGCAGGAGTGGGGTGGCATGACCGGTGAGGGAGATCTTGGCTGAGGCTGACAAAGGAGATTTTCCAGGGCCGGCCACTCACCTATGTTATATTGGAGCGTTGCTGCAGGTTACCGTGGCAAAGTTCTGATACAATTTCCTGGCGCTGGCCGGAAACAGCGTGGGCCTCAGGGAAGGGTATACTTTTATACAGCCTCTGTTATCCCACTATGGTCCTTGTCACTGGATTTAAGCCCCTGTCACCCCAGGATAGCCTGTCACCCCACCACAGCATCTGTCTCCCTATTATAGCCCCTATACTCCACCAATGCCACTGTCATCCCAGTATAGCCCCTGTCACCCCAGTCAGTGGCCTAACTACCATTATTGCAGGGGTCGCAGCGGCAACCGGCCCATCACTCCAGGGCGGGCCTGGTTGCCACTGCGATTTCTGCGGGTCACCGGCCAGAGCTGACAGGCAGGCTGACCAGCAGGAGGGGAGCACTGTGCTGCTCTCCTCCTGCCTCTGTTTGTAGTGTGGCCGATGTGTGTAGGGTGGCCGCTCAGTGAGAGAGCACTTCCCGTCAGATGGGTACCATGACCATGTCGAACAGGTACAGGAGGAGAGGGAGAGACAAATGGAGGGGCTGCAAGGGAGGGAAGAGAGAGACAAATGAAGAGGTTGCAAGGGAGGGGGGGAAGAGACACATGAATGGGCTTGTGGGGGGGGGGTTAGTCTCATGGAGGGGCTGGGGAGAGCAAATGAAACACATGGAAAGACTGGGGGAGCAAATGAGACACTTTGGGGGAAAGATGCACATGGAGGGGCCTGGGAGGATGAGATACATGAGCACATGAGGGAGCTGTGGGGTAGGAATAGAACACTTGAGGGAGATTGGGGGGACACATGGAGGGGCTGGGGGGAATGAGACACTTGGTGGTAAATGAGACACAAGGAGGGTCTAGGGAGGGAAATAAATATTAGGGGGGTGACACACATGGAGGGGCTGGGGTGAATGAGACACGTGGAGTGACTTGAGAGGGAATGAGACACATGGAAGGGCTGGGGAAAGGAATGAGACACATGGAGGGGCTGGGGGGAATGAGACACTTGGTGGTAAATGAGACACAAGGAGCGTCTAGGGAGGTAAATAAATATTAGGGGGGTGAGACACATGGAGGGGCTGGGGTGAATGAGACACGTGGAGTGACTTGAGGGGGAATGAGACACATGGAAGGGCTGGGGAAAGGAATGAGACACAGTATAGCCCCTGTCACCCTACAACAGCCTATGTCATCCAGTATAGCTCTGCTTTGCACTACAGCCCCTTTTACCCCACTACAGCCCCTGTTACCCACAATATCCCTATCCTCCCTCTATAACTCCTTTGTGGCAGACCCTGTCCTTGTACCAGCACTGTCCCCTTGAAACTTATTCTCTAACTCCCTGGTTCGGTACTTTCCCTTCTACCGAACAAATTGCCAAAACATACGCTCCCTGGCAGACAGCAGTCATTTTGTTAACTGAATGGAAAGTACTACAACCTATTTGGATCAATCACTTCCAGAGAAGCAGGGGAAGCCCCCTTTTGTTTGGTCACAGGAGCTCCCGATGTTTGACCGGCCAAAGCCACCGTTGCGCTTGGTCAAAACTTTACCACAGCGGTGATCGGACAATTCCACATGGATCTGGGCGCTGTTTTGCTAACCTGGGCGCTCGGACCAGAGCTATTCAGGGATAGAAGACATGCTGGGGTTCCTGTGTGTTTTAATTGTATTTTTGGGTGTATTATGTTCATGTTTTATGTTTGGCTCTCTGCATTCAGGAGATAATTAGTTTACTGGTCAGTGACTCAATTATCTCCCGGACACAGAGATGCCTGGGCAGGGACTAAGTACAAGACAATGGAAACCCCATACTGGGGTCTGTGCACACAAAACCCCCCCCCAAAAAACGAGTTTGGCTGAATAAATAAAGTTGTACTCCCAGAACTATGTGTCATCTAGTTACTGGGGGAGAGTTATATTCAATGAGCATCGCTTCTTCTAGCTTCGAGGAGAATTCGACAGAGATACCTAGTTGAGATATTGGAGCTCTGCTACACCCTTTCCCCAATATAGCCCCTATACTTCCAATTTAGCTCCTGTCACGCCAATACAGCCTGTCACCCCAGTATAGCCATGTCACTTCACTATCCATGCCGCAGTAGTCCCTATCCTCCCACTTTAGCCCCTATACCTCCACTATATGTCACCTCACCACAGCCCTTGTCAGCCCAGTATATCCCATGTCACCCCACTACTGCCTCTGTCAACTCACCACAGCCCATGTCACTCCACTAAAACCTTTCTCACCCCACCACAGCCAATGTCACCTCAGTATAATTCCTAGAACCCCAGTCTAGCCCCTATCAAACCACTATAGTCCCTATCCTCCCACTACAGCTCCAATTCCTCACTCAGGTCTCAAAATAGATTTTGCTCACATGTGTCATTACAGAGAGAACCAATTATTTTTCTATAATTTTTATTTTACTTTGTATAATTTAAATCTAAGTTTACGTGTGTGTGTGTGTGTGTGTGTGTGTGTGTATCTGTCAATGGAGCCAGGTTATAATCTCAATGTCAACAGTCACTGTGTGAATTGCCTCAGGAAATGCAAGGTTAGCTGGTATATGTGGTTAATTTCTTAGACTATAGGTATGACATTACGCAGTAGATGCAACACAAGCCACACACAGTATATTATATACAATCAATACACGCAGTATACAAAGTATATAAACACACAATCCATACACACAGAGTATACACAGTATATAACACACAATCCATACACAGTACATAACACAATCAACACACAATCCATATACACAGTATATAACATAATCCATACACACAGAGTATACACAGTATATAACACACACTCCATACACAGAGTATACACAGTATATAACACACACTCCATACACAGAGTATACACAGTATATAACACACACTCCATACACAGTATATAACACACAATCCATACTCACACTATATAACACACACAGACAGGTACTGACTGCACTCTCTGCTCTCCCTGATACATGCCTGGTGAAAGGTCTCTGTGTGGGCGGGGCTTTGTGTGTTTCCGTGTCGTCCTATAGGATTGCTTGGTGTGGGGGCGGGGCTCGGTGTGTTGGTGCTTCTGCCTCGTCCTATTGGATGGCGGTGTCTGGGGGCGGGGCTGAGCCGGTGTGTATGGAGCGCCCCCCCCGTGTCCCGCTGTCAGTGGGATTATGGCCCGGGATTGCACGGAGAGCCGGTTCTGGGAGGTCCTGGCTCGGTGCGGAGGCCCCCAGCGGGTGCTGCTGGTCGGGGAGCTGTGGGAGCGGGCGGAGAGCCGGGCGGTGCTGGAAGGCTTCCTGCGGGCGCTGTTCCCGGACCAGTCCCAGGATCCGGTCGCCCACCGGCCGGCTCGGTTCTCCCTCGTGTTCTTCCTGTGCCGGGCTGAGTCTCTCCGGCTGCGGGAGGCCCGGGGGCAGCTGCGGGAGATCCTGCGGGATGTGAAGGAGCGGACTCCGGGGGGCGGGGCGGTCATTGGGGTCATCATCCCGCCCGACAGCCCGGACAGCGAGACCCCCGGGCACGGCCCGGCCACGGACAGCGAGCCCCCCGGGCACGGCTCGGCCACGGACAGCGAGCCCCCCGGGCACGGCCTGGACTCGGCTCCCGGGGAGCTGTCCGCCATGCTGGACCTTCTGCAGTCCGTGTTCCCGCCGGGGAAGGGCCGCTGGCCGGAGGTCCGAGCTGCAGTCCTGCTCCCGGGGAAGGAGGAGAGCCGGAGGGAGGTGCAGAGAGCGGCCTGCGAGGCTCTGACAGCGGCAGGTACTCCCCGAGATCCCCCAACCAGGGGCTTTATAGTGTCCGACCGACCATGAGTTCCTGCACAACCATCACCACTTAATGCTGACAGGCTGTGCAGGAAAAGTGCTGCCCTGTATTGTTTTCTATTCATCACATGCTGTATGAGGGAAACCAATCCATTAATCAAGGCTGCCCACTGTCCATTAGTAAACTTCATTCCCGCACCACTGAAATCTACAGAATACAGGGCAAACTTTTCATGTGGTTCCCAACATGTGGTGTGTGTGTCCAGGAAAATAGAGTGCTGGCAGCAGCTGAGCAGAATCTCGAATTTCCCAAATTGTGATTATCAGCCATAGTACTAGTTATATATATTGGCAGCCTAATCGTGGTAATGTCAAACTGTGTATGTGACTACTAACAGGTCGCAAGAGCAGGTTATTCCTGCTATCAATAGTGATAACGGTTTAAAAAAAAAAAAAAAGTACCTATTGTCTTATACCACTTAAAATTCGCAAAAGCAAAATTGTCACCAAATGAATTCTCTCTTCCACTGGCATTCCTTATCCCTGCACTACTGCTTACATCTGTATAGCATTGCACAGAGTGAGATGGTCAACATCTGACTCAATTATTTTAAAATATCACACATCCTCATCCTTATTTATTTACATTTTATTTGTCTGAGTAGGTAGATTAACAAAGCCACCTTTACACATCCATTGCATTTGGGAGAAGTGCTTGTTGAATATGCCGTTTGCTGGACCTGTATAACTGTCCCAAAGTCTGTTTGAGTTAAGTCCTCATTTCACTTAAATGGGGCTTCTGGTGGGGGTTGGTTAGAATTCATTTGAGGGAGTTGTTACACTTCGCAATGTAAATGATTGACTCTTCGGCCAAGCAAAACTGAATTCTCTGAGAGACTTCTTTTTTATTTAATAGCTGTGTTTATATTTCTCTCCTACTAATCCTGAATTATCCCAATAGGCTATGTGGCCCAAGTTCAATAATTTTGAAGTATACGTGTTTGCTGAGCTGCAATGGTATATCTTTATGCCACAGTACTGCTTGAATGTCAAGACCTGGCTCAAAGTCTACCCTTGAGCCAGGTCTAGATAAACCTACACATTCTGTTGCCAAAATCAAATCAAATGCAGTTTAAAAGGTAACATTGGGTGCAGAGAGAGACCACCTCCTCTTCGCACCATGCTGTGTCCTGAAATGAGACCTCATATATCAATATTAAATACGGTAGTAATTCTTTAACTTTAAGTGCAGCTATTTCACAATTCCTAGGGTACAGGTGCATGTTAAGAGCTGAGATGCTGCTACAACAGTACAGCATCTCATTCTTCATACAGGGAGTGCAGAATTATTAGGCAAGTTGTATTTTTGAGGATTAATTTTATTATTGAACAACAACCATGTTCTCAATGAACCCAAAAAACTCATTAATATCAAAGCTGAATATTTTTGGAAGTAGTTTTTAGTTTGTTTTTAGTTTTAGCTATGTTAGGGGATATCTGTGTGTGCAGGTGACTATTACTGTGCATAATTATTAGGCAACTTAACAAAAAACAAATATATACCCTTTTCAATTATTTATTATTACCAGTGAAACCAATATAACATTTCAACATTCACAAATATACATTTCTGACATTCAAAAACAAAACAAAAACAAATCAGTGACCAATATAGCCACCTTTCTTTGCAAGGACACTCAAAAGCCTGCCATCCATGAATTCTGTCAGTGTTTTGATCTGTTCACCATCAACATTGCGTGCAGCAGCAACCACAGCCTCCCAGACACTGTTCAGAGAGGGTGTACTGTTTTCCCTCCTTGTAAATCTCACATTTGATGATGGACCACAGGTTCTCAATGGGGTTCAGATCAGGTGAACAAGGAGGCCATGTCATTAGATTTTCTTCTTTTATACCCTTTCTTGCCAGCCACGCTGTGGAGTACTTGGACGCGTGTGATGGAGCATTGTCCTGCATGAAAATCATGTTTTCTTGAAGGATGCAGACTTCTTCCTGTACCACTGCTTGAAGAAGGTGTCTTCCAGGAACTGGCAGTAGGACTGGGAGTTGAGCTTGACTCCATCCTCAACCCGAAAAGGCCCCACAAGCTCATCTTTGATGATACCAGCCCAAACCAGTACTCCACCTCCACCTTGCTGGCGTCTGAGTCGGACTGGAGCTCTCTGCCCTTTACCAATCCAGCCACGGGCCCATCCATCTGGCCCATCAAGACTCACTCTCATTTCATCAGTCCATAAAACCTTAGAAAAATCAGTCTTGAGATATTTCTTGGCCCAGTCTTGACGTTTCAGCTTGTGTGTCTTGTTCAGTGGTGGTCGTCTTTCAGCCTTTCTTACCTTGGCCATGTCTCTGAGTATTGCACACCTTGTGCTTTTGGGCACTCCAGTGATGTTGCAGCTCTGAAATATGGCCAAACTGGTGGCAAGTGGCATCGTGGCAGCTGCACGCTTGACTTTTCTCAGTTCATGGGCAGTTATTTTGCGCCTTGGTTTTTCCACACGCTTCTTGCGACCCTGTTGACTATTTTGAATGAAACGCTTGATTGTTCGATGATCACGCTTCAGAAGCTTTGCAATTTTAAGAGTGCTGCATCCCTCTGCAAGATATCTCACTATTTTTGACTTTTCTGAGCCTGTCAAGTCCTTCTTTTGACCCATTTTGCCAAAGGAAAGGAAGTTGCCTAATAATTATGCACACCTGATATAGGGTGGTGATGTCATTAGACCACACCCCTTCTCATTACAGAGATGCACATCACCTAATATGCTTAATTGGTAGTAGGCTTTCGAGCCTATACAGCTTGGAGTAAGACAACATGCATAAAGAGGATGATGTGGTCAAAATACTCATTTGCCTAATAATTCTGCACTCCCTGTAGTTGTAATCCCTGTTGCTATGCCAAAGCCTATGAAGGTTAAAACCATGTATAGTAATAATATCACTAAAATATATGTGTGTGTGTATATGTATGTGATATTTCGGTTAGCACAACACATACATTACACTTTTTTTTCACTAGTAATTTCTAATTAATGAAATACAGAATTGTTGCTAAACATTGCAAAGTTTGAAGAACTTTAACATGTTGGCTGACAAAGTTTAAAATACGCAGTATATTATCCATTCACATTGATAATTATGTTACTTTTTATTTTTAACAAGTCACATTAGACCTTATTATTATTATTATTATTATTATTAATTTACCCCTTCTCCCTACCAGTTGTAATGGCAGTTCGTTAAATAAATAATGAAAAATGTATGCAGACATGTGAATGATGAACAAACGTGAAACTCCTTGCAGACACTAGGTGCAGATTTAACTATTGATAGATATGCTACATATAGGATGTTTTCAAATTAGGTCTGTTTTCTAATTGTCAGACCTACATCACTGGAGGAGGGGGTCATGTTCTTCGTTTCTGTCCTTCTCTTAAACACAATATTGTTTATTACAGCTCTTTTAAAGTACTCCTATAGGGAAAACTTGGTGTGTTTGTGTCCGTGTCCCCAGCTAGTGCTAGATCTTTTTTTAGTTGTGTTCAGTCTGAATTTAACTAAATTTCCCTTCTTGCTCAGATCTACAGAGAAATCAGAAGAAAGAGTCTTTTCTTCCGCGCTTCTTCTCATGTAGACGGAGGAGGAGGAGGCGGCGAGACCCCGTGCTGAAAGGTAATATCAGCAGCTAAAAGACGTAAGGAATTTGGATATCTTTTCCAGTAAGACTCTCTAATTCTGTCTATATATAATTACAGATAATCCAGAAGAAGGAACTGCACTAACTGTTCTAAACCATTCCAATGGAGACTATGCCAAGAGTACCTCTGATGCTTAATTCCTGAATGAAAGCCTCCAATGTAACTTATCGATGGAGTTGGACATAAAAATATTTAAGCTTGGGGTTATGACCTCTCAACTATTAGACGGATAAGCGGACATTCATGAAGCCTCCGATTGTCGATAATCCGTTCCTGTAAACAAATATCCTTTATAAATATCAGGCCAAAAAGTTGTTGGCTACATCCTGTCGTTGACGGGAAGGAGAGAAACTGGATTACAAGCCTGAATCTGCTTGTAAAAGTGGACCTTGTGACTTAAACCTCACAGAATGAGATTAACTCTTTTTTGTTTCGTGCCTTACTATATAGTTTATAAAACTAGACTGAAATGTTTTATTGTATTCTAGCTTCTAAAAGTAGACAATGCACAGGCTGTGTTAGCTGATTATCTGTTAATTGTAATGCAGTTTTCTAAAGTGTCATAGGTGCGATCTGGTGTCTTCAAGACATATGTTCAAGATAATTTAAGACAATAATACTATTTATATGAACCAGGATAAGCACTCTCTTTGCGTTTTACTTTATATTTCCTTGCACATCTACTTTCCCTCTCTGATTGCGGACACTGTTAAGAACACTAGCATTAGGAATACAAACCTGTATTCTTAACAACTTTATAGTGCAGGGATAGGCAACCTTCGGCACTCCAGTTGTTGTGGACTACACACCTCCCATGATGCTTTGCCAGCATTACAAGTGTAAGAGCATTATGGGGGAAATGTAGTCCAAAACATCTGGAGTGCCGAAGGTTGTCTATCCCTGTAATAGTGCCTCTGTCCTTAGTCTTGGCAGGTGTACCAACACCCTTTGAATTAAAATTAACATTTTATCACTTTCTTTCCATCCGTCACCAAGACTCTATGCCTTCTGTGATGTCATCGAGGAGATATGCCCTGCTCGGTGATGGTCAGAAGCAATGTTCCTCACAGACGATCAGTGGGCACCAACTGTGCTTGCGCAGTGAGCACTACCCGCGCATCCAATGTTTCTCATAAAGCATTGAAGAATGCAATACTTTGTTATGAGCTTCTGCATCATGTGACCAAGTTTTACTCTGCCAGCGCAGTTAAAACGCCTCTAGTGGCTATTTGTGAGGCAGCCATTAGATGTGTGTTTTTAATTCTGTAATGTAAACCTTGCTGTTTATACAGGACTTATTCACTCTTTTATGGTAATGGATAGACCAATCACTTTTCCTTCTGATAATCCTGACAAGTTATCTATCACAAAGGTGTTAAACTTAAATAACTGAATTGAGATTCCTTTGGTGGGAAAAAAAAAAACCACATCAACAAACAGTCTATGCCTTAACTGCTTAAGGATGGTGGGCTTTCTACTATGCTGTCCTTTTCGGAGCGGTCCTAAATGCCGGCCATGAGATCGCGGGGTGGGGTGGGGGGATCGCAGAATAGCCGGTTTATGTAGTGTCTGCAGAGGGCCTACATGAGCTCTCAAGCAGTCCCCCTAATGCATGTAAAAAATGTTTTTATATATTTTTTTTTTTTTAAAGTTTATGAAGTTGTGTGTTTTGTGTGGGTTTTATTTTTTATTTTTTTTTTAAACTTGGATTATTTTTTTTATATATACAAGTGTATTTTAATATAAATTAAAATACACTTAGAATGACGTTATATATTTTAAAAAATTATACACAAGTTTTAATTTGTTCTAACTGTATTTTGATATTAATATACATATATTAAATTCAAAATATGTTTAGAATGATGTAAATATATTTATATTTATATAATATTTTTACATTCATTTTTATTAATTGCAATCTGAGGGAACTGCCCGACAACCCAAGCTGAAAGTCCAGAGAGTTTGGCTCACACGCCCTATATTTAACCCTGTAACTTTCCAGGCTACCATAAAACCTATACATGGGGGTACTGTTTTACTCTGGAGACTTCCCTGAACACAAATATTAGTCTTCAGTAAAACATCACAACAATGATATATCATCAGTAAAAATGCAGTTTTTTGCATTTTTCACACACAAACTGTACTTTCACTGACAATATTGTTGTGAAATGTTTTACTATTTTTAAACACAATATTTGTGTTTAGCGATATCTCCCGAGTAGAATAGTACCCCACATGTACAGGTTTTATGGAGTTTTTTTTTTATTGAGTTTGAAATTTGACAGATTGGTCATGTTGCCTTTGAGACCGTATGGTAGCCCCGGAATGAGAATTACCCCCATGATGGCATACCATTTGCAAAAGTCGACAACCCAAGCTATTACAAATGGGGTATGTTCAGTCTTATTTTAGTAGCCACTTAGTCACAAACACTGGCCAAAATTAGCGTTCAATTTAGTTATTTGCATTTTTCTTACAGAAAAAATATGAATGCTAACTTTGGCCAGTGTTTGTGACTAAGTGGCTACAAAAAAAGACTGGACATATCCATAATTTTTATTCCTGGACAACCATGCGCTCTGAAAGGCAACATATAACCAATCTGGTGAATTCCAATGTGTATAAACTGAAAAATGTGCTATATTTGACCATGTAACTTTCCAAAACACCAAAAAACCTGTACATTGGGGGTGCTGTTTTACTCGTGAGATATCACTGAATACAAAGATGTGTATTTTATTGCAGTAACCGCTAACAGTATTGTGACATTCACAGTTAAAATGCCATGCAGAACTAAAAGAATTTCTTAATTTCTCAAATTTCTTTTTTTTTTTAATTCATATTAAATTATGTTTAATATACAAACATGAAAGCCCTGTTTCTCCTGAGCAAAATTATATATGATAACTGTGGGTGCACATAATATGAAAGATGTGAATTACGCTTGAACAGACATATAGCACAAATTCAAGGTTTTGTTTTGATCACAACTTGTACAACTGCCTCAGACTTTAAGGGGTTAAAGGGACACTATAGTCACCTGAACAACTTTAGCTTAATGAAGCAGTTTTGGTGCATAGAACAGCCTCACTGCTCAATCCTCTGCCATTTAGGAGTTAAATCCCTTTGTTTATGAACCCTAGTCACACCTCCCTGCATGTGACTTGCACAGCCTTCCATAAACACTTCCTGTAAAGAGAGCCCTATTTAGGCCTTCTTTATTGCAAGTTCTGTTTAATTAAGATTTTTGTTATCCCCTGCTATGTTAATAGCTTGCTAGACCATGCAAGAGCCTCCTGTATGTGATTAAAGTTCAATTTAGAGATTGAGATACAATTAGTTAAGGTAAGTTACATCTGTTTGAAAGTGAAACCAGTTTTTTTTTTTTTTTGGTTTTTTTTTTATGCAGGCTCTGTCAATCATAGCCAGGGGAGGTGTGGCTAGGGCTGCATAAACAGAAACAAAGTGATTTAACTCATAAATGACCGTGAATTTGCAGGGGAATGATCTATACACTAAAACTGCTTTATTTAAAGTAATTTAGGTGACTTTAGTGTTCCTTTAAGCATTTTGTAGTGTGGTTGTGGGTTTTGTTTTGTTTTGTTTTTTTAAATGCACCCATTTTCAGTAATGGCCATGCGCTTAGTTGGTCATGACATCCATTTCATAACGCAATTCTTATGTCTCAGGTTTTTTTTTTTGGTTTTTTTTTAACTGCTTTCTTCAGATCCCAAAGCAATTATTTTGTTTTTGTGGTGTCACGCTGTTGCACAATATTTTTGCACTGGGGTTGGTAGGGACCATAGTCCGTTATTTGTAATGGTGTAATAAATAGATTAAACACTTTGGTATAGTTGGCAAAAAGTGAAATGATAAGGAATAGAAATTAAACTGTGTGCATATTAAAGCAATAGTACGTGTAACATTTACCATCTTGAATTATTATATATGTAACCTCTGCATAAACTGCCTTATGGGGAAGTGTATATAAATTCTACCAAAGTATAAGCTTGCTGACCGTTAAAGGGGCACTATAGTCACCCAGGCCAATTCAGGGCATTGGTCTGGGTGCAATATCACTGTCCCTCTTAGTCCTGCAATGTAAATCATTGTGGTTTAGAGAAATTATTACATTGCGGGACAAGGACTGCCTCTAGTGGCTGTTATTTCAGACCGCCACTAGAGGCGCTTCCTGGATGTTAACAGACCCCAGGTTGCCGGGGTCTGTCGCTGGATATCTTTATGCTCTGCATGAGTACATCCAGTGTCAGTGAAATCCCCATAGGAAAGCATTGCCTCATAGGAATGCTTGCTGTGCATGCACATTAGTCCGTCATGTTGGAGGAGGCAGAGCACTGACCCAGTGCTGAAGGACATTGGAGCTGGAACCGAATAAGTGTAAAAAGGGTTTTTTGAAGACTTTACGTGCTTGAGGAATGGGGAGGCCTGATGGCACTATAGTGGTAGGAATACAAATCTGTATTCCTAACTCTTTAAAATCCCTTTTTAAAAAGTGAATTCACTGGTTCTAGTGAGAGGCACCAATAGTTTTACGGGTTTTAATAATTGCCCAAGATTTTGGCCTGAAAACCTTAAGCAGACCTTTCCCCAGTAATGCAGATCTACTTGGTTGCTGGGCAACTGCTTTGCAATCCTACTACTAGTATGTGACGTGCTACATCAGCCCAGTCAGTCAGTATTGACCTACAAGGAAAAGATCATGCAGAGAAAGAATGCAGACTTAGTCATGCTTGTCACTAAGAAGAGGTAAAGGCACTCCATGTGCCCCATTTTACCACAAATCTAAAGCAGGACTGCATGAATGTTTGTCTGATCTACTGTTAGATTCCTTCATTTTTTTTTTTTTCCTTCAGTTTTGAATTTTAATTTTTTTTTCCTTCTCTAAATACATATCTTTTTGTGGCTATTGCTAAAAGTGCTAACCTCTATAATATGGCATTCAAATGCTGCAGCAAGCTCTATTAAATTATTACAGGAGTATTTTTGGTATTCTTCCTAGGTAAATTTATTTCATGTGCGTGGTGTCTGCTCACACATTCTGCAAACAGTTTTCACATACTGCCCTTTGGCCCAAAGTAATTTGTGTTCAGATCTGACAATGTTACATCCAATGCAGAAGGCATATCCCAAGATTGAAGAATGATTACTTGTGCTGTTAGAAGTGTTCATGGAGGAAATAATGTATGCTGAATTTAGAGAACTATCTGCAGTTTTATGCTGGGGGCTCCTTACACCCATGGCCCTTGCCTTGTGACTTTGAGTTCTGAACTAATGTCAGTTCTGTGAAAAAAAATAAGTTTGTCATTAGAGAACATGTGCTCTGAGTCTGGAGATTGAAACACAGAGAGGAAGAGGGAGTGTTGCAGCATGATATTGAACGGGGCGTGCAATAATCTCGCCCAGCTCTGGTAAGCTTATTTATTTTATTTTTTTTACTCAAAACAAAGTGGGTGGAGGGGACAAGATACTAATGCCCAATAAAGCATTACAATTTTTTTTTTAAAAACTTCAAATAAAAAAAATGGAGTAACACCTATAAGTCCCATGTATTACTATTTTTATTTTTTTAAATTTTTTTTAAGGACCTAGCCATAGTACTGTTGAATGACTTCAAGGGTGTACGATTACTATTGTTTTTAATTATTGTTTATAAAGCGCCAACAAATTCTGCAGCGCGGTACAATATTTAATACATGAAACATCTGAAATAGAGGGGGTGGATATCATAGGTAATCAAAGGTCATTTTGTGGGTGTGCCAGGTCTGGTATGTTTACAGTGTGTTACTGTTTGTTGTCGTGTGTAATCACGTAGTTTATTGCTTTATTCTAAAATTCTCTATAGATAAAGAATACCTGAATTACTCCACACACTGAATAGGAGTCTGGGAAGTGTTTGTTTCCTCTGAAAGTAACTGCCTGAATAGTTAATTCTGTGTATTTTCTTTGTTTGAGTTTTGGTTGAACCAACATCAAGATGTGCAGGTATTTCATGACGTGTTTTTCCAGTTTGCTTTTAGACCAAAGCAAGGGCCTATTTTATAGCAGAGTTCTTCAAACCTATTTTCAGGAGCCACCAACTGGCTACAAATGTAAGGATGTACTAAAATGCACAGTCATTTCAATTAAAATGGGTGAGCCTATGGTTAAACAGCAGAACATAGCCTGTTGGTAAGTCCTATTGTTGGGCTTGATTTCTAAATACATTTAAGAAAGAAAGATGCATGCTACTGTCCTTTATTGATGACATTCTGCATGATTATTACCGGTAATGCGTTTTACTGAACAGTGCTTTCCAGATTTTAGGTCTTTATATTGTAAAGTGTGTTTACAATGTTCTATATTATACTTGTGCACCGCCAAAATGTCAAATAAATTCGGATGGAAAAAAAGTGGTTTCATCCAAAATAAATTTAAGCCATTAGTCTGGTCGTTTTCAGATGAAATTCATCCATTATTTTTGTTTTGGAAATTCCATTTGGACAAATGGAATTTCGCAACTTGAACTCAACAGCCAGCCAGTCAGTCACAGTCGGAAAGTACAGATTAAAGGACCACTATAGTGCCAGGAAAACATACTCGTTTTCCTGGCACTATAGTGCCCTGTGGTGCCCCCACCCTCAGGGTCCCCCTCCCGCCGGGCTCTAGGGGTTGGAAGGGGTTAAACTTACCTCTTTCTCCAGCGCCGGGCAGGGAACTCTCCTCCTCCTCTTCGGATGAATGCGCATGCGCGACAGGAGCTGCGCGCACATTCAGCCAGTCCATAGGAAAGCATTCACAATGCTTTCCTATGGACGCTGGCGTCTTCTCACTGTCAAAATCACAGTGAGAAGCGCGGAAGCCCTCTAGCGGCTGTCAATGAGACAGCCACTAGAGGCTGGATTAACCCATTTATAAACATAGCAGTTTCTCTGAAACTATGTTTATAGAAAAAAGGGTTTATCCTAGCTGGATCTGGCACCCAGACCACTTCAACTTAATGAAGTGGGCTGGGTGCTTATAGTGGTTCTTTAAGAAATGGATCGCACAAAATGCAGTTTGAGGCTACCTAAAATCCCCTATCTATATTTAAAGGAACAATGTAGTGTTAGGAATACAAACATGTATTCCTGAAACTACAGTGCTGGTGTAGCTGGTGACTGGCCCTGCTCCAATTGCTCTGCAAAGGTGATTTTACTGACTTTTTCTAAATTGCTGTGCTGGTATCGCAGCGGATGGCCCCATCTCCATGTTGGATTTCAATCTTGATTCTCAGCCAATCCAGGTTACCATAGAAAATCAATGGGAGACTATTGTGCATGCGAGGCAAAGCGCTGTGCGAATCAGCATCTCCTCATAGAAATGCATTAAAGCAATTCATCTCTATAGGAAACATTCATTGTCTCCATGCAGAGCTTTGGTGACTGCCACTGGGGGTGTTCCTTAGCAGCGATTATAAACACTCTTTTATTCTGAAAAGGTAGCATTTACATTGAAATGCTTACAGGGACAGACTAGAAGCCAGAACCACTACATTAAGTGGCAGTTTGACGGCTGAGGCCTCCAATTTATTGCGGCCTGGTGTGGCTTGGACGGGAGACGCGTCTGGTGCTGCCCGGACCTACTTGCTGATTGCCAGAACCCCGTATTGCCCCCCGCCCCTGGACCAGTGGGGGTCATCCCGGTTCCCGACAAGCAAATCCCTCCACAGCACGTCTTTGCAAAGCTTGTGAAAGAAGCTCTCATGCAGACCAAGATGGCCGCCGACAATACAGCTAATGAGCATGGTGAGCAGGTGACTGCTCGAAACTGGGAGGCTGATTTCTTGAAGGCTTTCAATAATATCTGCCAGCCGCTTTGGATGGGCTTGGAATTGGCTACCTCCATCACCCGCTCCTAAGGCACAAACACCAGTCAGAGCTCCGTCCCGGCACCTTTCCCCTCTCCTCTCCCCCCTTCCTAGGCGGAGAACCAAGAGGGTCTCATGAAAGATTAAAAACAGAAGTTCACTTATTCCCACACTTGGCTCCTTAAGTAATTTTTGTACATGACAAAAAAATGGGACTGAAAAAAATGTTTAATTTTCAATCAGATGTTAACTTACTAAGTTTTTATTTTTTTTATTTTTTATCTCCTCTCTGTATAAAGAACTTTACATACAGGAGGCTCCTGCAAGGTCTAACTAGCTGCTAACAGAGCAGGAGATGAGAGATTTTTAAATAGACTGTGCAATAAATAAAGCGTAAACATTACATCTTATTTTACATGAAGTGTTTAGGAAGCATGTTCAAGTATTTTTATGGGGGGAAAAAAGTAATTTTTTTTGAATATTTATTTTTTCCCTCCAACTTATACATAAGGGGCATGACTAAAAAAAAAGCACAGCTTCTCTTTTTTTATTACTTTATCTGTCCGTTTTCTTTAGTTGCTTGCTTCCTATTTGGTACATTGAGAGTGTTCCCCAGGTCGGTCTTGAGTGCCAGGTTCTGTTTGTAGTCCTCTTCCATCTCCACCAGTCTTCTTCATATTCCTTCCAGTTTTTTTTGTTTTTTTGGATGGGTCAGTGAGTGTGTGATTTGCACAGTGTGTCTCTCTATGTACAGTGAATGCACTGTATACTGTCCACAACATCACAAACTCGCTGTGACCATCGTGAGATTGGATTGTATGTGAGTGTCATGATACGGTTATGGTATAAATGTGGATTGGGTGGATTGGTTGTATTGTGGTTGTACTGGTTTTTTTTTATGTGCAATGGAGGTGTGCCACTAACTTTTTTTTGTTTTTGTTTTTAGAATTTTTGTTTGTGTGTGTGTGTTTAAGTGGAATTTAAATTGTTAGAAAGAAATTGAAAAAAAAATAATAAATGAAGATTTACAAAGAACGTCAACTGAATTGAAAACAAAATGAAAGTTGAAAGGACAGTGAATGGGCAATTGATGAACAACTCAAGTGTTTTATCCCCAACGTGCAAAGCATCCAAACTCCTTGGCACACAGCGGACTTTTAGAGCTTAAACAAGGGGAGAAACCAGAAACACTTTTGGGCAGGAGCTTTATAGAAAGTAAAGTAAAAGAAAAATGGAAAACAGAGTGGAAGGGAGAGTGAATGGCCAATTAACAACCCACTTCTTGTTTCAACCACAATGGCCCATTTACGAGTGCTGAGCATTCTGTATATTCACTATTACTGAAAACACATGCTCACTGTGAACATTAGATGGTGGACATGTTTGGAGCTCTTGAGCATCCAAGGAACGTGGCAAAGGAGCATCAGAGAGGTAAACTCTGACCATTTTTAAGGCAGTACTCTCCTTTCTGGTGCTTGGTGTATCAGTGAGTTCAAACTCCTCCACCCAAAATGCAGATGTTCCACTCACATGTGTTGTGGTGGTTCAGCTGCCACTGGGGCAGGGATTTGCAGACATCTCAGGCTCCTGCTGCACTTCTCTCAGCCAGCATTCTCCTCTTCTGCTAAAGTCTGGCAGACTTTGGATGAGTTATTGCCTCCAAATTGAGTCTGAGGGCTTGTTTTCCCTTAATCTTAGGTTCTCACAGACAAGCTAGTATCAGTTTGAGAGAATTATCTATTCATTCGGGTAGACAAAATCTCAGCTGATCATTCATTCTGACCAGTGCTATTATGTCCGGATGTAGAGGGCCACCTTAAACAACATTTTAGTTTTTTAAGGAAGGCATATATCTTGCTCCTTAGATTGGTCAACACGGGGATGACCTGTACCAGACTGACAGTGTTCTAGCTCAAGTTTTCAGTTACATCCGTAACTTGCCATTGCTGACTTGACAATAAGTTGGGGGATGTGCACTGCACAGTGCACACCAACAATGTTACCACTGCTTAGAGCTTTCTTCATGTTTTAAGCATCATTGGTTATCACAACCCCCCCTTATATTGGTGCCTGGCTTGGCTCATACCTAAACAGACACCATATTACCACTTCACCGTACCACTTCAGCATGGAGAATAAAGGATCAGTTCCACTTTCTGCTAGGCCCTGCTGCTGCTGTTGAACTTCCTTAGACACATGAAGCTGTCACCATTGTGCTGTCAAGGAAAGAAAGGTATCGTGGGCACTAGGTGCACACCACAAATCTGTAGTAAAATGCACAGACTGACAAGCAGCTCCTCTTTCACAACTCCATTGCAGCAACGACTGAGCGAGGGAATGATCTTCCTGCTAAAAGTGGTGTGTGAGGGAAAATGGTATTGTGGAGCCCAGTGGCGGATCCAGGGGTGGGGGGCAGCAACGGGGCAAAATAGTGCAGCTGCCATCTGTGGAGCTACCTCATTAGGGGCTCGGTCGGGAGCTGCAGCCCTTTGGTAGACCGAGCCCCTTTAAAGTTGCAGGGAGTGCTGGGAGGAAGTGACTGTTACAGACCGCGCGGGCTGAGAAGATGCAGGCAGCTGGGAGTGAAGAGAGAGAGCTCTGCAGCTTCAGACTTCCACCAGGATCAGCCAGCCCCAGAAAGTCACCTCTCTGCAACCAAAAGGTATGGAAGCAGGGTGGGTGGTTAACATTATGGAAGCTGCAAATTGTGTGTGTGCCAGAGTGTATGTTTAGGTATGTGTACATCTGTGAGTGTCAGTGTGTATCTGTGAGTGTAAGTGTGTATCTGAGAGAATCTGTGAGTGTCAGTATGTATCTGTGAGTGTCAGTGTGTATCTGTGAGCATGTGTGTGCATCTGGGTGTGTCAGTGTGTATCTGTGAGTGTGTTAGTGTGTATCTGTGAGTATGTATGTTTATCTGTGTGTACCACCGCACTCATGTTCCGCTTTTCACTCTGGCCCACAGCCTCAGATGTGTTCTGCATTAGACAGAAACTGCTAATCTGTCCAACAATACAAGGTAATAGAATATACAGGCAACAGTCTGGGTACTGAAGGTGTATTTATTGAAGGGTAGAACACCACATAAAAGTGCAACTTTTCAGCCCTAGACAGACTTAAACATGATTAAGGCCCTCTAGGGCTGAAACGTTGCACGTTTGCCCTTTTAAGGTGTTCTATACTCCAATAAATACATCTTCAGTACCTGGAGTTTTGCTTGTATATTCTATTGTCTTGTATCTGTGTGTATGTGAAGGTATGTGTGTCATTTTGTGTATATGTAGGGATGTGTGTGTGCACTAGTGTGTGTATAGGTGTAGGTATGTGTATCTGTGTATGTAGGTATCTGTGTGTGCCTGTGTAGGTATAGGTTTGTATCTGTGGGTGTGCCAGTGTATGTGTGTGAAGGTATATGTTTGTATCTGTGTGTATGTGCCAGTGTGTTATTGTGTTTCCATATTACTGTGTGTGGTCGTATATGTGTACAGCCGCCTATCCCCTAAACAAGAGTCCCCTATTCCTCCGCTGCAGCCCTTTTCACCCCGCTTTAGCCCACCACCAGTGCCCCTCCCGAGATTTGGTTCTGGATCCGCCACTGGTGGGGCCACAGTCTCTATCAGTTGTTTGAAAAGCTCCCCTTCTAGCATAGAAAATGAAGCACCCCCAACCGCAGACTGCTGGCCAATAAGTCCCGTGATTTTATCGGTCTCCTGTTTGGACATAACCCTGGAATGGGATTTCCCAAATAATTACAGGGTGGGATGGACACGTTGCGATGCTCCAGCTGGCCGTGATCATTGTCTGGCAGTATCACTATCCCTTGGCTCTTCAATACCTACCCTGACATTCCTTACTGGGACTTCTACAAACTTTGTTGTACTAACTATAGCTGTGTTGCCTGCCCTACTACTTTATGCCTCTTCCCTCCATAAAACAGCCTTGTGATAGCTGTGTAGGTGATGGGTCATCTTCCTAGTGCCAGGATGAACTAACACTCTCCCCCTGCTAATTTTCCACAATGTTTGCACTTTGCAAAGAAATCACTCATCTCCAATGCTTTCAAAGTGGTCCCAAAATTTGCATTGGTGCAACACATTGGCCTCTACCCTTTGGCCTGCTCCTGGAGAAGCTGTGGGTGGATAAACAGCAGAAGCATGACCACTGGAAGTTGGCACACTCCTAGCCTCTGCACTGTTACTAATACCGCTAGTACTAGTGGTTACTGTGCCACTGCAACGAGGAGAAGTAGACCTGGCAACGTTTTTACAGACTCCAGAAATAGGCGGTCCTCTACACTTTGTAGTAGCGGATGCAACTACCGGAGAAAGTAGAGAGGCAGCGGAATAGTACATGATAGCTAGTTTTTTTTAGCTAGTAATTTTTTTTTAATTTCAATTAACTAGAAAAATTCTTATTAAACAATCAAACTAAACTACTAACGTAACGGCAATGCTCCGAATCTCGCGAGAATGAACTCTAGCAGCTCCTGAGGATGATAGAGTTCACTCTCACCACTTGGACCACCAGGGCTCCCACGGACCACCATGGATTAGTACTGTGCCCCCTCCCAGGAAAAGGTAAACAGGGAGGGGGGATATCAAAATGATTATTTTTGTTTAATTAAAAAATGTTTTTATATTTATTAATCTACCCTCCAACCCAACAGACCCATAATAATACTCTCCCATACACACACACAGCCCTCACGCGTACACTGTATCCCTCAAGCACACACTGCACCCTTCAAACACACAGACACACTCAACATCCTTCACATACACAATGGACCCTCGTACATTCACTGCACCTCTCACACACACACACTTAACCCCACACACATTGCAACACACATAGACCACTGCCCCTGTCCTGGCAGACCCCAGGTAACTTGTCAAAATTTTCTTAAACAGTTTGGCACTCCTGGCACGATATTGCGATGCATATTGTGCCTGGATTGTTTCTTTAAATAATCTAATAGTACCCCTCCCGAGATTAGGTTCTGGATCCGCCGACAGGGAAACATTTTGTGCAGTATATGCCGCAGCGCTGTACATGTATACAACCTAGAATTAAAAAAAAAAAAATTAATATTGAAATATTAAGGGCGCCTTAAACCTAAAAGGTTTGGGAACCACTGGTTTAGAACATTTTCCACAGTCACAAAATTATTGATGTTGATTTCATAATGAAAGAGTTTTTTTTTTTAAATTTACCCAGCTTTTCTTTGCAGCTTTCCAAGGGACAAAATTTTGACAATATTCCAAGGTTCTGGGTCTAGTGTGTTTGCAATTTCCAGGATTGTATTATCACTCTGTTCTGCTTTATCTCCTGACTTCACCTGGCTTGCATGTTGCTGATAACTGCTTCCAGCAGTTTTTGACAGGGAAGATTGACATATTTTTGATTGTCTACAAAGTCAATATTTTTAAAAACATCAGATTATATTGTAGGTTCAACTTTATTTTCACATTTTCCACAACTTTTTTCAAGTATTTCAGTACCCTAATTTTTATTTTTATACATTTTTAGCTCTTACAAAAAATTTTATTTGCTTTGATGGATATTGGAAACTAAGGACATTTCTTGTAATATATCTATTTTAGTAATGCTAGATCAACCATAAAGAACCTGTTGTCAAGACAAAATATTTTTTATGTGCAGAAAAGTATTGGCATATGGCTGGATAAGCATGCTAATCAACAAGAGTTCATCATCTTGGCCCCAAAACTCTACCAATCTTTATAATTTCAAGCCCAAGTTTTTCATAAAGTTCCATTTGATTTTTGTTTAATGTGTGAAAAATAATATAGACTTTATATATAAACATTTTGAAGTGATTCAATTGTTTTACTTGAGTGATAGAATCAACTGAAATAAATTGCAGACGGTGATTTAAACAATGCCAATTAATGATGCCTGGGAAACCTCTTTTTCAAATCTGGTGAGAGTGGAACCCCCCTCCCATATTCAATCCATTTTTTTACTTGCAGTTTGATTTCATCTTCAATTAAGACAATAGCCTTTTTTTTGTTGCTATTTCATCATCTACTGGTGACATGATAGGTGTGCAGGTAGTGCGGACCGTGTAGTGCATCCATATGACCCCCAGACCCAATGACGAACATGAAACTTAACTGGTGATAAACAGGCCACAGCACTATTAACAAAATATTTCACCAATAAACATTATTAATAATATGTAATATATAGCTTTATAACTTAACAGCAGAAACACATCCATTCTTGCCAACCTATATCAAGTGTAACCGAACTCTCTAGGGTGCCTGCCCTCTCCCCTCGTTCCAACCTACACTAGTCTCAAAACCTGGCAATCCATCAACACCATGATAGCCAGCCTTTGGTTTAGTGGGCAGGTCATTGAAACCAATACATTTCTTTACCAGTCTAGGGGAGGTAAGCCCCGGTATACCTGTATTTCCCATTTGACTCCCAGTCCAACCCCGATTGGCAAGGTCAATCCCCACCTGCTGCGACAAGAAAGTCAAACAAACGCACACCGAATGAGACCAAATAAAGGCAGGAGGGAGGGGAACTAATTCTCTCTTAAAGGGAGTGCTACTAATCTCAGCACGTTACCTGTATAAAAGACACCTGTCCACAGAAGCAATCAATCAGATTCCAAACTCTCCACCATGGCCAAGACCAAAGAGCTGTCCAATGATGTCAGGGACAAGATTGTAGACCTACAAGACCATCGCCAATAAACTTGGTGAGAAGGTGACAACAGTTGGTGCGATTATTCGCAAATGGAAGAAACACAAAATAACTGTCAGTCTCCCTCTGTCTGGTGCTCCATGCAAGATCTCACCTCGTGGAGTTTCAATGATCATGAGAATGGTGATTAATCAGTCCAGAACTACACAGGAGGATCTTAATGATCTCAAGGCAGCTGGGACCATAGTAACAAAGAAAACAATTGGTAACACACTACAACGTGAAGGACTGAAATCCTGCAGCGCCCGTAAGGTCCACCCGCTCAAGAAAGCACATATACGGGCCCGTCTGAAATTTGCCAATGAACATCTGAATGATTCAAAGGAGAAATAAATGAAAGTGTTTGGCATCAATTCAACTCGCCGTGTTTGGAGGAGGAGGAATGCTACCTATGAACCCAAGAACACCATCCCCACCGTCAAACATGGAGGTGGAAACATTATGCTTTGGGGTGTTTTTCTGCTAAGGGGACCGGACAACTGCATTGCATTACAGGGATGATGGACGGGGCCATATACCGTCAAATCTTGGGTGAAAACCTCCTTCCCTCAGCCAGGGCATTGAAAATGGGTCGTGGATGGGTATTCAAGCATGACAATGACCCAAAACACACAGACAAGGCAACAAAGGAGTGGTTCGAGAAGAAGCACATTAAGGTCCTGGAGTGGCCTAGCCAGTCTCCAGACCTTAATCCCATAGAAAATCTGTGGAGGGAGCTGAAAGTTGCTAAATGTCAGCCTCGAAACCTTAATTACTTGGAGAGGATCTGAAAGAAGAATGGGACAAAATCCCTCCTGAGATGTGTACAAACCTGGTGGCAAACTACAAGAAACGTCTGACCTCTGTGATTGCCAACAAGGGTTTTGCCACCAATACAAAGTCAAATACTTATTTCACTCATTGAAATGCAAATCAATTTATAACTTTTTTGACATGCGTTTTTCTGAATTTTTTTTGTTTATTTTTTTGTGTATTAAAATTATAAACTGATAATTTCTTTGTCAGTGGGCAAACGTTCAAAATCAGCAGAGGATCAAATACTTTTCCCCCTCACTGTATGTATTATGAAATATCCACTTTTAAAACTATACAAATCATATACAATTCACAGATGAAGATTCAGCAGCTACAGCTTCAATTTGGAGTAAAGATCTCGGTGAAAGAACCTAAGGAAGCGTTAGCAGCTAGCTTGATAAAAGGGCATGTGTGAGTGTGGGGGGTGTAGTATGGCTAATATGATGTAGATTTGCGGACTAGGTGTAGATAGAAGGGGAGGAGTTGTATAAATAGGGAGCCATTTCCCCTTGGCCCTTATATAATCGGCTAGGAATTAGTTCCCCTCCCTCCCGCCCTTTGGTCTCATCCGGTGTCCGTTTGTTTTATTTTTTTCTCTCACTGTACACAGACTGCTGAATACATGAACACACACACTGCTGAATACATGAACACACACACACAGACTGCTGAATACACACACACGTACCTGCTCTCTGGTCTCAGGTCCTGCTGCCATGCTTCCCCTTGGCCTATAGCTCCTCCCACGGGGACTCTGTCAGTGGAAAGGACAGGGGCAAGCTGTGACTTCTATCCCTTCTAACCCATAGCATGAAATACCGGCTATGCCGGTAAAATACAGCCAGATGGCAACCCTAACTCAGCCACTCACTCACTCAGTCTCAGACACACCCATCTCAGATTTACAAAATAAAGAAGTACCGGTACATTTTGTCATAAACAGGAGGCAGCACCAGTAAGCATAATTTAAAAATAAAAAAATATTTTCCTATAGATTCGCAATTATAATGCCCAGCCCCTGATTAATTCTCTTTTTACAGAAGTAAAATTTCAGTTATCTTTGACAGGCATCCACATATTTTAGTACCTTACCTTCATAGGGAAATTTAGTCTATCTTAAGTCATCGTCTTCATTATTAAAAATATTTTTGAAAATTCAAGGTAATTTTCACAATATGCAGATTGAGCCATAGAAACATAGAATGTGACGGCAGATAAGAACCATTCGGCCCATCTAGTCTGCCCAATTTTCTAAATACTTTCATTAGTCCCTGGCCTTATCGTCTATCCCAAAGAACTCCTTCACTGTGTTAAAGTCTACCACTTCAGCTGGAAGGCTATTCGATGCCTCCAGTACCCTCTCAGTAAAGTAATACTTCCTGAAATTATTTTTAAACATTTGCCCCTCTAATTTAAGACTATGTGCTCTTGTTGTGGTAGTTTTTCTTCTTTTAAATATAGTCTTCTCCTTTACTGTGTTGATTCCCTTTATGTATTTAAATGTTTCTATCATATCCCCCTGTCTTGTCTTTCCTCCAAGCTATACATGTGAAGATCCTTTAACCTTTCCTGGTAAGTTTTATCATGCAATCCCTGAACCCGTTTAGTAGCCCTTCTCTGAACTCTCTCTAAAGTATAAATATCCTTCTGGAGATACGGTCTCCAGTACTGTGTACAATACTCCAAGTGAGGTCTCACCAGTGTTCTGTACAGTGGCATGAGCCCTTCCCTCTTTCTACTGCTAATACCTCTCCCTATACAACCAAGCATCATGCTAGCATTTCCTGCTGCTCTATTACATTGTCTGCCTACCTTTAAGTCATCTGAAATAATTACCCCTAAATCCCTTTCCTCAGATGTTGAGGTTAGGTCTATTAAATATTCTGTACTCTGTACTTCTGTATTCGTTTTACGTCCAAGATGCATTATCTTGCACTTATCCACATTAAATGTTAGTTGCCACAACTCTGACCATTTTTGAGTTTACCTAAATCATTTGCCATTTGGCTTATCCCTCCTGGAACATCAACCCTGTTACATATCTTAGTATCATCAGCAAAAAGACATACCTTACCATCAAGACCTTCTGCAATATCACTAATAAAAATATTAAAGAGAACGGGTCCAAGTACAGATCCCTGAGGTACCCCACTGGTGACAAGCCCATGCTTCGAATATACTCCATTGACTACGACCCTATGTTGCCTGTCACTCAGCCCCTGCCTTTCCCATTCAAAAATATTGGAATCTAGGTAAGCAATCTAGGTAAGCAATGTCTACTGCACCACCCTGATCTATTATTTTAGTTACCCAATCAAAAAAATCAATAAGATTAGTTTGGCATGATCTCCCTGAAATAAACCCATGTTGTCCCTGATCTTGAAATCCATGTGATATTATATGCAGGGCTGTATTGTTTACCACAAGGCAAACAACGCATTTGCCTAGGGCGGCACTTTCAGGGGGGGTGGCGGCAAAAAATGCCACCCCAGCACCCAGGCTAATGCCTTGTTTGACTTGTGTCCTGGTGGGCCCAAGAGCTGGCTGGCTGGCTACATTAACCCACCTTCCCCCCATGGTGTTAAACTACTAATATTCTACCTGGGTGGTAAGGGAGCATTATCCTCCGCTATTCTTGCTCCCTTGCGCTCCCTTCTGTGATGCCAGGAGCCAGAATATGATGTCACTCTGGCCCCGGCATCACTAAGCGGTGCAGAGGGAGCTGAGCAATAAAGGCTCAGTTCTCTCGCAGCCTCCACTGAGAAGCCCCAGCAGAGCCAGCCCAGCCAGCAACCCCAGCAGAGCTTGTCCAACCAGCATTCCCATTAGAGCCAGCAGCCCCAACAGAGCCAGCCTAGTCAGCAGGAGCCAACAAGGAGCCTGCCGAGCCAGCCCTCCAAAAGTAGGGAGGCTGGGTGTATGTAATTTGTTTTTTAAATTAATAATTTGTGAGTGTAATGTGTATGAGAAAATGTGTGTGTGTGTGTCAGTGAATGTGTGTGGATGCCTGTCAGTAAATGTGTGTTTGCGTCTGTCAGTGAGTATGTGTCTTTAATTATCAGTCTGTGTGTCTGTCAGTGAGTATGAGTGTCATTGTGAGTGTCAGTGAGTGTGTGTATGTCTGTGAATGAGTGCATGTAGCTGTCAGTGTGTGTGTGTCTGAGTGAGTGAATGTGTGCGTGTCTGTCAGAGTGTGTCAAATCAGTGAGGATGTGTGTGACTGTATGTGTCAGTGTGTGTCTGTCAGTGTATGTATATCTGAGAGTATGCATCTGTCAGTGAGTGGGTGTGTCAGTGTGTGTCTCAGTGAAAGTGCGTGTTGGTTAAACAGGGTGTGTGCCAATGTGTATCTGTCAGTGGATGTATGTCAGTGCATGTATCAATGAGGGCGTGTGTCTGTCAGTCAAAAAGTGGCCCTGACATAAATTGGTGAGGCAAATTTAGATTAGGGGGATGCCCAAATTTAGTCGTGCCTAGGGCGGCACAATTCCAAAATACACCACTGATTATATGTTCAACAATCCTATCCTTTAACATGGTGTCCATTACTTTCCCCACTACTGAAGAAAGGCTTACTGGCCTATGGGTGCCCGACTCCTCCCTACTACCTTTCTTGTGAATGGGCACAACGTTCGCTAACTTCCAATATTCTGGGACTACTCCTGTTAACAATGATTGGTTAAATAAATCTGTTAATGGTTTTGCTAGTACACCACTAAGTTCCTTTAATAACTTTGGGTGTATTGTATCAGGTCCCATTGACTTATTTGTCTTTACTTTTGAAAGTTGAACCTTTTTCTCTCTAAACTCAGGTCCTTTTCCTTTATTTTCATCTGTAAATACTGAACAAAAATATTCATTGAGACAGTCAGCTAGACCTTTATCCTCTTCTACATACCTTCCTGTACAGTGTGCCAGATAGCTTGAAAATTTGAAATAATAAATGATGTGGTGATGTGGACGGGAAAATTATTATTACCAGAATAGCAAGTATTCTTTTCTCTAACTTCTGTTGTTTTACTCCACAAATTCAGCCTCTTCACAAAAATATTTAGCCTTTTCAGGCACAAAATCTGCCAGACTGGCAGAGCCTCTATCACTCTCACAGTCACCACGTCTGCTGGTCCAAGCTGGTGCATTTCCAAGGCCAAGGCGACTCTGCTCTCCCTCTCAATTGCTCAAACTGAGCAACAACCACATATGTAGCCTGCTACTACAAGCCTACTCACCGACTCTCCCTCATCATTTTACGCACACACGCTGTGGAGTGAGCACTCGGACCCTGCAGCGAGCTATTCATAGCACTCTCTGCGTGGTCCTGAAGGCTGTGGACTGGCCATGCCCTTTTTGGGCAAGAGAGATCCTTTTCGAAGTAGACCTGTCCATTGTAGGCGTCACTAATGATGTGGCTCACGTCACTGGCAATGCCTCCTCAGGACTCCACCCATCCGCCCCAAGTTGCAAAGGCAATATGTTGGGAGGTATTCTTTATATGAGCTAGACCAGTGGTTCCCAACCTTTTTAGGTTCAAAGCACCCTTAATATTTCAATATTTTTCCAAGGCACCCCAAGTCAAAATTTCTAGGTTGTGTATCTGTACAGTGCTGCAGCATTTACCGGCACTTTGGTGTTATGTTCAGTGTTGGTGTTTCAAGTGGTACTTGTATTTAGCTTTAGTGTTTTAATATAGGGGTGTGTTTGTATGTAATATTTGCGTTTGATTGCAGGGGTGTGTTTGAATGTTATGTTCACTTTTAAATGTGGGTGTACATTTGTGTGAAGTATTTTTGTTTGAGTTTGAATGCAGGGGTGTGTTTGTATGTAATATGTGTGTTTGATTGCAGGAGTATCTTTGTATGTTGTGCTGGTGTATAACTGCTTGGATGTATGCACCTACACTACCACACACAA